TCGGTGGGGCCGCTCACCGTCCGGGTCCTTCTCCTCGAAGCACTCGTAGCTGTACTCGACGTGCAGGTTCTCCAGGTAGGCCCGCACCTCCTCCTCATCCTCGAAGTTCACCAGCCCGGCCATGACAGGGGGGCCGGCCCTCGAGCGCCGAGACACCGAGCAGGAGCCTGCGCCGAGCGCCGAGCGATCGATGCGGCCCTGCGCACAGTGCCCCAGCCCGCTCCGCCTCCTCCTCCGCCCCCTCCGCTGTCCCCGGTGCCGCTGCCGTCGTCACCGCCACCCGTCCGGTACGGGCCAGCGCCGCCCCCGGCAGGGCTTCCAGACTGGTAGGCCGGGGGAGTCCCCGTCTTCGCCTGCGCTGCCTCATCTCTCACTCCCAGAGACTGACAACGCAAAAGTTTCAAGCAATAATGCGCTACTGGATAAATATTTTGGAGGTCTTGTTCACCACAAATCCATCAGTGCATACATTCATCAACACACGCATACATACTATGCACAGCCTAGAAGCCACGCTGCTTTACCAATTCCCCAACCTGTCGGCTGCATGCTTTTGTCTCTAGTTATTTAACAGCTAAGTAATTTTCAACTCAGACTCAGAACAGGGGAGCTGCTGCTGGTGACTGTCAGCTGTCAACCAGCAACCAATCCTTTTTATGGTACAACAAATGATATAACGGGTGCTTTTTGAAGAGGTGGAACCCTGCACCCCAGCATGTCCCAGCACGCAGTGCCAGGGCTGTTGAAAGCACCCTCAGACTGGTGAGCAATTAACACCACACTGCAGACCCCATTGCTCCAGTTAAGGATGAATTAAGCTAGGCATGATACCAGGATACTTATAAAAATATGGCAAACTATCAGACTCCAGCAGTTTTGAGCACAGACTGAACTTTCTGAGAGTATAGCAGCACATTAGAAATTTCCATGACAAATTGCTCACAGTTAAAAATAATTTAAATGAACTTTTGAGAATGATTTGTCCTAAATGATTTCAGTGACATAACGCTGGCGTGTCAAGCTCCTGGGGTCAATAAAGCTCGATTGAGTCTTGTGCATGGGCTCCCATAGGAAGAAACCTGGTTGTTAACGGCTGGAGCTCATTGCAAGAATTGACGGCACCACCCCTGGGTGTGCTGCCAAAATGCCAGTTACAACTTCAGTTGAAGTAATTCCTTAAAACTTGACAGACTTTTTGGTATTCGGGTTGGAGTTATCACACCTTGTCCACAGAAGCTAAGGTCTTGTTTTCAACATTTATCAACCAAAACATAGCTCACTGTCAAAACCCAAACAGGAGAAAGGAAGATAGTTCCTATCAGAAATGCGGATGTGATGAGAAAAGGAAGGTAAAGACAAGACAGCTGGTGATCATCACGTTGGAGCGAATGAGTTAATTTGTTAATTGGTGTGGAAAGAACACACCAGAAGCTCCAAAAGATATTAGGAGGTGAAAGAATCATGTAACAGACTCAAAATAACAGTACTAGCCCTTCCCTAATCTAAACTGACTTCTGTGTCCATAACTACATAAATTACTTCTTCTAAGCAGATTGGCTTTGTAAGTGGTTAAATTCAGAACACGAGGACTTTTGATTTTGTTCTGGTCAGATCCTGAGCACGTGATTTGTTTTCACTACATCAACACCTAAATCTAAAGAATTGGGACTACAACTGACCTTTGTTGGGCAGTCCCTAAACAGGCAAAATGGTGTTTGGTAACATTTGTAGAATATTTTGTCATCTTCTAATGGCAGAAATATAATTTATTTTAGCAATTGTTCCTTAATGTTTGTTCACGTGTTTTGCAAACAACTATTATTCAAAGCTGCTGTATGTAGAACCGGCAATTCTTCAAAAGGTTTAACAGTAAGCTCTTTGCAATTTCATTTTACTTGGAGAGGGTAACTATATCACTCTTCGTATCCTGGAACAAAAAATAACTGTATTCTCTTTACCAACAACACATTATAGTGTGTATTTGTTGGGAGACAGGTTTTCATCGCTACGACTGTATCTGAAACCTGGAATTATTTTGTGTAAAAGCTTATGGCAAAGCTCCTCTCCAACTGCGAGGCAGGTGGCAAAACCTATCGTACTGGAGATTACCATTCATATTCCCAGAAGAAACTCGTTTGGGCAGGAAACAGATTTGGATTACAGAGGTTAATCTGTGAGCAACGCGCACAAAGCTGACGCTGAGTTCCCGTTGGGAGAGGTTACCCAGAGCCAAGGACGTGCTGCAGCCCCCACAGCCTCTGCTCGGCGCTTCGAGGCTGCTTCATCCTTGCTCCAAAATGAAAGCAACGAGGCGTCAGGGAAGGTCTCACACACCCCTCAACACGGCAAGCTCTTCATTGAGCAGTAGAACCCTCGGGCACTTTACGCTTTTAATCGTTAAACCTGGATTTTAAGGTTCCCCCTCAGCCGCAGAGCGGCGTCTGCCTGCTGAGGCCCCTTTAAGGGAGGCGGGCTCGGTGCTGCTGCCCGGCCGGCTGAGGCAGATTCACTTCCAGGTCGGGGAGG